GTCTTTGGAGCCATTGATCCCTGTCTCTCCAGAAGAATTGTGTGTCTTTTCGTTTTCCCTTAGCCTTTGAGTTAACTTTCTTCTTTCTCTGGTCCTGTAGCTACACAGATCCTACTATCTGCTCTTTTTCCTTTGGCTCAGAATCACTTTTAATTGGGAAACTTGTAATATCACCATGACTTCTATGACTTTTTCTACCACTTTGGACCTCTTTCACTCACTGTTAATACAATGTGAATGCGATCACATAGCCAATCTTTCAAGAGACAAAAAGTCTGGTGTTTTAATGCATAATAGAAGAATACTCATTAATGAGACTATGTCTTTTGATTACAAGTAGTAAAAACCAATTTTAAGATAGTTAATCAGAAAAAGGAGAAATTATTGTCTTCAAGGTTCCAATGAAGATTCTAATGACTAAATTCCATAAAAAAAAATAAGGCTATAGATAAGCATCACAAGGATTCCCTTTCTCCATCATCTCCTGAATTTTCTCTGCATACAAACTATATCTATCCACTAAAGACCTTCACAGGCCTCTTAAGTTTTAACAGTAGTCAGTTTTGCCACTGGAAGAGACTTCCTTCATTTTACAAAGCATCACAGAAGAATTCTAGTTGACCAATTTGTGAATCCGTTTCGTCTCCCTTATTCAATTAGCCATGACCAAAAATGTCACAATTAAATAGAGTCATGATTCACATCTTTCACCTCTGTTGACCTGTAGCCAGGAATGCAGCATCATGAAAGAACATGACAGCTCTCGCTGAAATTCTAGTTAGTATTTGGAAGGTAAAAGAAAAAAATTATCCTAGATGCATACTAATTATTGCAAATGAGGGAGACCATGGGACCTATATTTCTTTGGGTCTGGCTTACTTCACTTAATATGATTTTTTTCAAGTCTTTCCATTTCCTAGCAAATGGGGATGTGTAATTCTTTCTGATGGAAGCATAGATCTATTGTATATACATACCACATTTTCTTTATCTATTCAGCTACTGAGGGGCATGTGGGTTGGTTCCATATCTTAGCTACAGTGAATAATGCTGTGATAAACATAGATGTGCTGGTAGCTTTAGTATAACCTTATTTGTGATCATTTGGGTAAATGCTCAAAAGTAGGATTGCGGGTCATAGGGAAGCTCTATGTATAGTTCTTTTAAGGAACCTCCATAGTGCTTCCCAGAGTGGTTGAACAAGTTTACATTCTCACCAACAATGCAGTAAGGTTCCCTTTTGGACAAATCCCTTCCAACATCTGTTGTTATTCAATTTCTTGATTATAGCCATTCTAACTGGAGTGAGGTGGAATCTCAGTGTTGTTTTGATTTGCATTTCTTTTATGGCTAGAGAGGTTGAGCATCTATTGGCCATTCTTACTTCTTCAGGGAAGTCTCTCCTTAGCCCACTTATCAATCAAGTGGTTGTTTCTTTGGGGATTTGTTGTTGGGGAATTTAATTTCTTGAGTTTTAAGTATATTTTAGATATGTGGCCCTTGTCTGTTGAATGGCTAATGAAGACTTCTGCTAATCCGTGGGCATTTTTTTTTTACAGTCGTGGGCCTGAACTCTGTGCCAAGGAGCCCTAGAGTTTCTCCTATTCCTTCTTATAATGTCTCAGGGTGTCTGCTTTGAATTTGAGGTCTTTGATCCATTTGGAGTTGATTCTGGTACAGGGTGATATATAAGGATTTTAGTTTGCTACAGGTGTTTAACCAATTTTGCCAGCAATATTTACTGAAGAGGTTGTCTTTCTTCCATTCTACTTTTTTTTAGCTCCCTTATTGACGATTAGATGGCTATAGGTCTGTGGGTTATCAGATGAGCAGAATAGCTCAAAAGCTATGTACATATGACCGTATAAGTCTAAGTGAAATGAACCCCAAGATATGAGCAGTTATTGTTGTCTTAGTTGTTGTTGTTTTTAATGTACTATGTGATTTTTTTTTGTTTCTTTTGTGGGTTCTTCCCCTATGGTATATCCTCTGTTGTCACTGTACTTGATTTTGGTACCCTGCATCTTGTATATACATTTGTCTAATTTGGAGAGGGGAGGAGAATAACAAAACCCAGAAACAGGGACACAGGATGACCCATTGCAACAATGATATGCACAAGACACTATATCGTAAATTAACTTTACAACTTTGGCTGGGGGAGGAGGGGGGAAAGTGGGGGAGGGAAGGGATAGTGGGAGAACAACAAAGGAGGGGGTAGTAATGCTCAACAAGAAATGTACTCATTACCTTACTCATGTAACTGTAACCCCTCTCTACGGCATCTTTACAACAAAATAATTTTTTTAAAGAGTAAGAAACAAGTTTAAAAAGCAGATGCTATTCCAAGGGAGTGAATTTGGGAAATAAAAATACTTACCAGATAAAACAATTTCATTTACTATTCAGCAGATAAAACTATTTCAAAGAAATGATCTGGCTCATAATAACTGCAGGAAAAACAATACCAGTTTTCATAACACTAGGACTTTGTTACTAAGAAGCAATAAAGTATTGATTCAACATAATCTTTCCAAAAGGCCTATAAATAGGAAAAATATTTATAGTCTGAAATATCATCTCACTTTTGCCTACCATGCCATCATAACAATTTCATTTGACTATCTCAAATCTGAGTTCACATTTTGTCCTTTCGGTTTGTGCATGATCTTAAAACAAACTTGATTGCAGATGTGTGATAGAAAATAAGAAGAATAGTCAGGCTAAATATTTTTATTTTAAAATAATGTTTTGGGAGTCACAAAATAAAACAGATATCCATTACCCTGTCAGGGCTTGAGACATTTTCTATTCAGGGTCAGAGAACTAGGTTCACAGATACTCTGTCCCTGTAAAGACTGCTTAAATCTGCCATTGTTACTTAAAACAGCTATGAACAAAATGTAAATGAAGGGATGTATCTGTGTGCCATTTATACTTTATTCAAAAAAATCAGCATATTAGTGTTCTCCAGAGAAATATGATCAAAAGGACAGATATAGAAGATACAGTTGAAAAGAAGGTATCCTCTGACTCTTGGAGAAGTAGGTCTCAACCTGGAATCCTGAGAACCTACAGCACCAGAGGGAAAAACAAACTGGATGTCTCTAGTCAATGAGGAACAAATTTGTCTTTCCTCTACCTATTTGTTCTCTTTGGTTTCTCTATGGATTGGATGATTCCTGCCCACATTGGTAGGATGAATCTATTTTATTCAGTCTACTTATTCAAATGTTAAGTTCTTCTGGAAATATCCATCCTGACAAGTTGAAAAATAATGCTTTATCAACTAGAGAAGCATTCTTTACCCAGAAAACTGACACCAAAAGTTAACCATCACAACCAAACTGTTGTATCTTACATAGAGTTGTTGACCTGTGCTCTAGACTAAGCAAGTATTCATCACTTCCATTCATCCACTCATTCCTTTCATATCTATGTTTGCTCTTCTTTAAAGAGTGAATGTGATCATGTTACAGATGTGTTACACGTCGCACTTCAAGGCTTCTACTGATAAATTTAAATTCTGATAATGATAAAATAGATTACATCAGATCATCTCCTCTACTAAGAAAATCTATAAAAACTATATTAGAGCCTGGCATCCATGGCTCATGCTTGTAATCCTAGCTACTCAGGAGCCTGAGATCTGAGGATAGCAGTTTGAAGCCAGCTCAGGCAGGAAAGTCTGTGAGACTCTTTTTTTTTTTTGATCATCAAATTCTCACTTTTAATATTGTATATGAGTTAAGAATATAAATACAAGTTAACTAAGGCAAACTATACAAAGTAACAATAGTTTGAAATTAATTGCTGCTAACTTTCTTGAACTATTCTATATGCTTAATATAAATCACAATTTTTAATCCTAGTAATTGTCTTACCTTTAACTCTACTTCATAATTTGGAATATTTTTTTTTCCTGTGAGACTCTTATCTCCAGTTCTGGTTCAAATGGTAATGCACTAGCCTTTTACACACACACACACATACACACGTGCACACACGCACACACATACACACACACACACACACGTGCGTGTATTCAGGGACAGTTTCATGGCCCTGAGTTCAAGACCAAGAACCAGCGCCAAAGAAAACACCAAATAAAAAGAGATAATGAGCAGAGCTGTCTGAAATTAACCAGAGCTGCCAGAATACTTAGGTTAAAGATGCTAGATTGAAAGGAACTACACCGAAGTGAGGTGCACTTGCTCCTAAAGGTCCTCAGTGGTATGTTTTTCTATCCAGTAAAAAAAAACTGTGCTATCCAGAACAGTGCACAGAGGCTAAACCAAAGAAAGTAGCATATAGCTATGGCATTCACCAAGAGTCATGGCTCATCAGTTATGCAAAGAGAATTGTCTGCACAACAGACTGCATAGCTTCCACTCCTGAGGCGATTATTCAATCTTAACCTGCAAGACTGAGAAGCTCCAAAAACAACTCTTGCCTTGAATTGCGCCAAGAATTTTGCACACCATAAGTGTTTACTAGAGAAATATTTTATCAAAGATGAAACTTCAACTTTCATTAGAAATGCCTAGTTATCTGCCCATGAAATGACATTAAAAAATAAGCCACAAGAAATTAACATAGAATACTGGAACATAGGCACTGAATAAACAAGAGGATCTTTAGGTTTTGTTAGACTCTTTTCAACCCTCTTTCTTAATCCCCATCACTAAATACAGATAATCTTTCCACATTTCCATCAGAGATGTAATGAAAGAAGAATCATAAAAAGAATATGTGAAGCCAGGTGCCAGTGTCTCATGCCTATAATCCTAGCTACTCAGGAGGCTGAGATCTGAGGATCACCATAAAAGCCAGCCTGAGCAGGAAAGTCTGTGAAACTCTTATCTCCAATAAACCACCAGAAAACCGGATGTGGCACTGTAGCTCAAGTGGTAGAGCGCTAACCTTTTGCTGAAAAGCTGAGGGACAGCGCTCAGGCCCAGTGTTCAAGCCCCACGACCAAAAAAAAAAAGAATATGTGAGTGCTCACTTCAGCAACACATACACTGAAATTGGAACAATACAGAAAAGATTGGCATGGCCCCTGAGCAAGGATAACACACAAAATCATGAAGCAATCCATATTTTTAGGAGGCAACAATGCTTGATAAGAAATGTACTCATTACCTTGATCATGTGATTGTAACCCCTCTGTACAGTATTTTCACAATAAAAAAGTTTTAAAAATAAAGAATATGTGAAAATTCAACCTATCTTCTCTGCCTCTGAGGATGAAGTGAAGAGACCATAAACCAAGGATAAAAAGAAAACAGATGACTTCAAGAAGCTGGGAATCGCTTTCAGTTTTCAGCTAGGAGAAGGAGAGAAGGAAAGAGATAGAGCCAAAGAGCCAAAGAAAAAGAGAAAGACACAGAGAGAGACAGAAACAGAGACAGAGATAGAGGCACTGAGTCACAGAAAGAGAGAGAGAGAGAGAGGCGAGAGAGAGAGACACAGACAGAAACAGAGACAGAAAGAAGAGATCATAGTTCTACAAGTATAAGAAACTTTACTATCAATAATTTAAAAGAACAAGAACAAAGAACAACAACAAAATCTCCAGAAGAGAAAATAGTCTTGCCAACATTTTTATTTTATCCCAGTGAGATGCATTTTGGACTTTTGACCTATAGAACTGTCATTGTTTATTTGTGATGGGAGCAGTAAAAAAAATTATTCTAGCCAGGTGCTGGTGGCTCATGCCTGTAATCCTAGCTACTCAAGAGGTTGGGAGGGATATGAGAATCACAGTTTAAAACCAGCCTCAGCAGGAAAGTCTGTGAGACTCTTCTCTCCAATTTTCCCCCCAAAAGTAAAGCCAGAAGTGGAGCTGTGTTTAACGTGGTAAAGCTTTATAGCCTTGAGAATAAAGTGCAGGGACAGTACCCAGACCCTGAATTCAAGTCACTAGACAAGCACAAAAAAATAGAAAAAGAATCATTTTATATATCCATATTGGAGTAAACATAGAAAATGTCTATGCTACTGAAAACAAGTTTAAATTCAATGCAATACTCATTGAAATCCCAACAGTATTCTTTGAGAAAATAGAAAGTCATGTGGAAGTATAAAAGGCCCCAAATAGCAAAATTAATTCTGAATTTAAAAAATTGAAGTTATACTATACTATACATTTTATAACAGTAATAATACCGAACTTCAAATTATATAACAAACCTAAAGTAATAAATACAGTATGATTGTCACAAAGACAGAAACAAATATCAATGGGACAGAATAGTAGACACACACAGCTCAGTCATCTGATTTTTTCTTTTTTCTTTTCTTTTTTTCTTTTTTTTTACAAAGGAGCCAACACTAGAGACTGAGAAGAAACAGCCTCTTCAATAAATAGTGCTGGAAAAACCGATTATATGCAGAAGAATGAAACCATATTCTTACCTTTCATGCGCTATGAAAATCAACTCCAAATTAGTCAAAGATCTTCATGTAATATCTGCAACTCTGAAAATACTATAGGAGACCACTAAAAGATATAAGCATAGACAATTTTCTTGTGACACAACTCTAACTGCTCAGGAAGTAAAAGCAAAAATTGACAAATGGGGCTGCACAAAATCCAAAAGTTTCTGCAAAACAAAAGAAACCAATTACCAGAATCAAGAAACAACCCAAACAATGAGGGAAAAATCTTTAATGCTATTTAACAGAAAAAGAATATCCAGAGTTAAAGCTAAAATATTTTAGTCACACTAAAATAATTAAAAAGCAAAAGAAAAATATTCTAATAAATGTGAAAGTAATTGATCACAGAGTTCTCAGAAGTTCAGATGGCTAATAAATGCATGAAAAAAATGTCCAACATCCTTAGCCATAAAAGAAATGCAATTAATACTATACTGAGTCAATCTCATTCCAGTTAGAATGGCAAGGGTGTGGGGTAAAAGGAACCCACCACATTGTAGGTTGGAAGGTAAAGTAATGCAACTACTGTGGAAATCAGTTCCTCAAAACACTAAAATCAGATTTACATTATGACCCTACCATGTCATTCATGGCACACATTCAGAGGAGTATATATTGATTTACATATTCGTGTTGATTACAACTCTGTTTCTAATAGCCAATCTGTTGAATCAGCCAAGGTGCCCAATAACTAATATATAAAGGAAGTACAGTACATGAATATTATGGAGTATTATCCAGCCACAGAGAGAAAGGAAATTACATTATCTGCAGGAAAATGGGTGCCACTGAAAATCTTCTTGAGCCATATGAGTCAAGCCCCAAAAGCCAAATTTCCATTCATTTGTGGAATCTAAACTTAAAATGATTATAACAACGATGACTACAACGCTGTTGACGAGACAGAAATGTAAAAGGTAGGCTGTCTCCAGTTAGAAGGATCAATGGGAAGAAGAGAAAGTACACTGAGGGATAAATAAGATGGAAATAAGTTACATACATATGGACAAAGATACCATAATGAAAACACCAAATACTGTTTGAAAAGGGGTCAGGGCTATGAGAATATTAGCGAGGGAATAAATTTGCACACAGTATATTGTGTGTATATATGGAATTACAATGAAACCTCTTTGTACTATAAATGGATGTTAATTGCAAAGTAACTTTTAAGTGCTTTATTAAATTTTATATGAATGAATAGAAATTAAAATCAAATGATTTATTTATAAACGATATAGTTCAATAATAACTCAAGAAAATTCTGGAAATGCACTTTAGTGGTGGAGCACTTGCCTATCATGCACAAGGCCCTGTGTTTATTACTGATGATAGTAATAACAATAATAATTCATTTAATATTTTTTGTCAGTGGTGGGGCTTGAACTCTGGGTCTGGGTGCTGTCCCTCAGTTCTTCAGCTCAAGGTGAGCGCTCTACCACTTGAGCCACAGTGCCACTTCTGTTTTTTGAGCGGTTTATTGGAGATAAGAGCCTGACTGCCTTTCCTGCCCAGGCTGGCTTTGAACTGCAATCCTCAGATCTCAGCCTCCTGAGTAGCTAGGATTACAGGGGTGAGCCACTGGTTCCCAGCTTCATTTAATATTTTTGTAAGATTATGGAAATGTTTAAATGTTGGAATCTGATTTAGAAAAATCTAGTTTCCTTGATATTATGAATTATTACCATGTTCTCACTTCTTTTCCTTCCCTTCCCCTTATAGTTAAATGCAATGCATTACAGTATTCATTTTTACTATATCACAGTTTGTCCTATTTACAAGCTATTTTCCAAACAATAGTTTAAAGAAAGTTTGAGTTATTATTTCTGTTTCAATGTCAATACCAACCCTTTTAACTATAGTTTCTTTGGGGATCTTACAATGTTACTAAACATTTTGGTCAGCTGGAATTATCTGATATTTTTTCCAAATAAAATCAGTTTATGAATACAATGGGTCTTGATCAATGTCACCCTTCTGAACACTCTCAGCCATCCTTCCCCTACCATCCCTTCCTTCATACTAATTTTGTAGGAGACACATTGGGATCTTGACTGCTTTCTTCCTCCCCTTCTACTCTTCATGTGTACATCCCTTCCCATCCCAGCCCTTTTGAGTACCCACTCGCTGGTGTTTTATTTTGCTGAACTTTGACTTCGCCTTTCTAAGGGATTACACTATTTGAGTTCTATGAATCTACCACATTTCACTTAATGTATTTGTTTACACCTGCATACCATCCAATCTATTTATTTATGAGTTTATAAGCTAAATCTAGCTTCCATATATAAAGGAAAACATGGATCTTTTGTCTCTCTGAGCTTGACTTTCTTCACTTAACAAAATTTTTCCAGGTTTTTTTCCACTTCTTTAAAAATGATATAATATAATTTTTTTGAATGGATGAATACAATTCCATTGTGTATTTATACCACATTTTTTGACTCATTTTCCCACTAAGGGGCATCCAGGCTGATTCCATACCATGCCACGGTGAATAGTGCTGCAGTAAACAAGATTGTGCTGATGACTTTTCTATGTCCTGGTATTTAATCTTTGGAGTAAATTCCCAGAAGCAGAGCTGCTGGATCATAGGGTAGTTCTATATTGAATATTTTGAGGAACCTTCACAATGCTTTCCACGGTAGGTGAATATACATTCCCACTAACAGTGTATTAGGGATCCCTTTGGACCACATCCTTACCAGCATCTGTGTAGATTGTTTTCTTGATAATGGTGATTCTAACTGGGGAAACATGGAATTCCAGTATTGTTTTGATTTACATTTCCTTTATGGCTAGAAATGTTAAGAATATTTTATGTTTCTATTCGACACTCTCATTTCTTCTTCTGAGAACTCTAACTCATGAGCCCATTTATTTAATTAGGTTGTTGGGTTTTTGAGAATTTCATTTTAAAATTGTCTGTATATTCTGGACATGAGACCATTGTGTAGCTGGCAAAATCTTCTCCCATTCCGTAGGCTATCTTTTTAACATATTGGCTATGTCCTTTGATATGCAGTTTATTTAGCATTTTAGTTTAATGCTGTCCCATTTCTTTGATTTTCTGTGCTTCTGGATCTTCACTTAGAAGATCCTAAGCCCAGCAGCCCTAATGTCCCTAGGAGAGATGATTAACAAATAGGAAATAGGATGGTTTGCTGACACACCGTCTATTTGGTATTTTCCCACTAATTTCTTGGCTTAGTGGCAAATCATTCACACCCCTGAATCTTATCTTTAATGAAAAGATCCTTAGGAGAAAAATATCTTATCTATAATAAAAAAAAAATTCTTAGAATAGATCTCTTCAGTACAGACATTATTTTAAATTTCTTTGTCAGTGGGGCTTGAACTCAGGGCCTGTGTGTGGTCCCTGAGTGTTTTCGTTCAGGACTAGCACACTTCTGGTTTTTGAGTGGTTACTGGGAGATACAGTCTCTCAGATTTTTCTGCTCCAGCTGGGTTTTTTAAAAAATTTATAAGGATCATTTTATTTTTGTGGTACATATACTCTTTAGCCTCCAAGATGTTCCCCAGTGATCACTGCTTCCTGATAGGGCATGCCAAATTTAACAGAGGTAGTCCATGGACCAATGAGATATTGCAGAAATGACAGTGTTTGACTTCCAAGAATAGGTCATGAAAGCCATTTTGGCC